CAAAAAAAACAAATAAATATTACGATATGAGTTTCTTTTTCATGGGTTGCGTGCGTGGGAGTCCCTGACCATCAGGTAGGATTTAGTTTTGTATTGCAAAAATGAGCGCATGCTCAGTTTAGGCGACAGAAGATGAAATGCTAAACCCGAATTCTGGTTCAATATCGAGGACTGCGACTTAGACTGATTTTAGATGGAGTGCCCTAGAGTAATTATCCAAACAAGCATTCAGAGCAACTGGATTTGGTTAACCTACTTAATAATGTATATTGCATACGGGCATTTTCCATACAGAGCTACTTGTATTTGTGTGAGGTGGTGTACACTAGCTAGACACGCACTGACAGTGTTATTCCCTACATTGTGTGTCCAGGGTAAGACCACTGCAGAATTTATAATGTGCACAAATTAAATGAATGACTGGAGAGAAGTCGCATATTTCACATGAAGCTTCAAAACCACCTTGAAGTCTAGAATATCTGCACTAGCTTCAGAAAGTGGTTTGATACAATACGTGATGCATAAATAATGGCATTTTGAGTGATTCTCGTCATGGCAAATATGATAATGAGTAAAAATACAATCGCTGTATTTTCTGACGAGGAGGTGGTGCCAGACACATGTACACATTTTCTATAAATTACGCACCTACGGCGCATCTGTGGCGTAAATTAGTGACACGAAGGCGGTTCAAAGTATCGATGTCGTGTTCATCTGTAAGTAGTCCATCAATGAAATTATACTATATTTTAACTAAATACAATTTGAGAAGCAATGCCTTCACTTAATACGTATTTTTGACGGTATAGGGTGCGATATATAGGAATGGTGCACTGCATGTCTGAATAATATCGATAATGAACAGCTTTTCTTTCATTTACGTCACACTAAGCGTACGGCCACCAGAGGGTGCAACTTAGACTGACCTGAATTCGCGGTGTTATCTTCCGATTCCTCGGCCTCACCACGTGCTGCATTTGTCGTCGGTTCTTCTGGTTTGATTACCACCATTGAAGTCAACGGCGTCACGAAGTTGTATTTCAACGACAAGTCGAGAGCTTTAGCGGACAACGAGGCGTTTTCTTCTGGATCCACTGTTAAGACACGCTTTTTGAGAAGCTCTTTGATGGTGAGGTATGCCCAGAGACGTTCGATAAAGTCTTCGGGGATATGTTTGTTCACCAAAACTGAAGGCATTACCTATTACGACATATAGTTACACATAAGATAAACAATCAAAATATGATAAAACGTCGGCAATAACCGTGGTACGTTAGTATAATGTAATTCAGAATACCTATCGCATACATTAGCTGCACTCGATGGTCAACTTAGGATCTCATTTGTACGTATCTTAAAATGGAAACAAAATACTTGAATGAACTCATAAAGCATGTTTATTCTAGCTTTTGCCTCGTAATTATTCTAGGGCGTAACAATTCCATCCCAGTATACATGATATTCCGGCATATGCTTACCGTTGGATCTATTTCGGCATCAAGTTCAAGTTGGGTGTCGGCCGTGTTGGCTGTGATACGTGTTTGTAAGACATCATTGTCAACTAGCCTGCCAGCTACTACCAGTTCCGAACCATTAAAATAATTAGGGAAGGTACTCTGTGTCATACTATTCTCCTCCACGTTATCGCCCAGATACTGGATGTCAACGTCGAATAGCAGCGGCGTAGCTACCTCGTCGTAGAAACCCTTCAGCTGTAGATAGCCATCGGCATCTTCGTATATCCGCCTAGCAATGCCTTGATTCTCTAACGATATTTTCTGCAAGAACTTAAAATTAACGTCACCTCCAAAACCAAGGCAGAAAAGGGAGTACTGTCCGTCAATGTAGGTTTTAGCGTTTTCTTGGATCTTAGTCAGTTGAGTTTCCCCAGACGTCGGTTGTCCATCTGTCAACATGATGACCAGAAACGCCGATCTTTCCGTGTTTTCTGCATCGTCGGTGACGCGTCGAAGCATTTCAACACCTTCTACCAATCCGCCATTAAAGTTGGTACCTAGTATAGAGTGGTAATTAAGTCGGAGACAAAACATATCACGACTTAGTGGCAGGCATGGGCCAAGAGAGACACACCGAGAACG